CTCTGTATTTTTATTTTCTGCATAGTGTTTATTGAATTTTTTTTTTGCATGTTGTCAACAGAATGTTGGCGAAGTTAAAATAAGTTTCTCAGGGACAACACTTGCCGAGACTCGTGACGAAGGTCGGTTGTGTTATAAATAGCACCAACACGACCTCGTTCGAGAAAACGGTATGTATTAAGCACATTCAATGAAGCGCAATTTTCGCTGCAGATGACGACACAGGGAATGTTATTTTAAACGGGATTCGCGGGACGCCAGAATCAGGCGGATGCTGTACAAAAATGGCAAGGTGATCGTTTACATGAAGGACTTAACTTGTTGATATTTCTTTTTGACAGTAGAGGGCTTCGTTAGTTTCTTCAATGACAACAATGCAGTGGTTCACTAAGCAATAGATCAAAGTAGTCATGTAAAACATTTTTACGAAACGTTCATGTAATCAGTTTTAAAAATTTGATGAACGAAAAGAACATTAATATTCATTAACGTTCGTAGAGGAAGTATTTTGGTATATTAATTTTTTTAAATGTTCCAAAACCAGAAAAACATGCTAAGTTTTTAAGAAACTGTAAATTTAGCCAGAAGATTTGCTTGGTATCGATAAATTGGGTTGTATAACTGCACTACTTAGAAAAAACGGTTTCACAAAACCAAAGAACTTAAAACGAGGAGTAAAATGCTTATTTGTACGACTTGAATTGGCTTTAAAACCTGTTTTTAGATTTAATTAAAAAAAAGTAATTCAAGTTATGCCTAGATTTTATGTTTGTGTTTTTGGTAAATAACTCACATTTATGAACTATTTTTTAACTTTCAACAAAACAAGGTACACAGGATTTCTCCACGCTTACAAACCTTAGTTTATTCTCGTTACAAATTTACAGTACTGTCATATTTATTTGTTCTCGATTTATTTCGATCCCCTCCTCCTCCTCCAAGTGTCTTAGCTGTAACTGCAAGTCTGATGGTTTATAACGCTAAAAACCGGGTTTTGATACTCCTGGTAGGCACAGCACAGATAGCTCATTGTGTATCTTTGTGCTTAACAACAAATAAACAAATTGTGTGGATTTAGACTACAAGACGACTGCAGTAAGAAGATATAACTTTCTTAATTAAGAAAATAAACTATAATTTGGACAAACCCTGTGTATTGTGTTTTATCATTATTCAACAAACAATGTTCGCCACAGATAGAATATGTCATATTTGGGGATATTTGGGAATCGTATTCCTGTGCTTATTTTCACTTTAAATTCTTCCTCTTTTTTTTTTAGTACACCCCCAGACTCCAGTGCCGTAACAATCGATAACAAAATAGAGCAAGCAATGGTAAGCTATATACACTTGTGGTGTCAGATTATACTATGATAGCATCAATATGGAGAACTGTTTATTTATCGAGAAGTGAACCTATGTTTTTAGTAACACAATTAGTTTAAATACTTCTGTTCGTGAAAAAAGAAAAAGAAACGTTAATACACAAGCAGACAAGCTCAAACATCAGGTATTACTTACAAAGTTACATTTCTTATTAAAGTGTGAACAGTGCATTGTGTTAATAGTATCGCTTATAATGCTATATTAATTATTATTAATACAATTACTAATGAATTATTAACGTTTTTTTCTAGTTACTAAAGGCCAGTGTTTTGGTACTTATAACAATATAAAATAATATTGTCCATACTCAATTGTTCTTTAAAGTAAGTTTTTTTACATAGATTCCTATTCATTTATTGTCTATTTCATTTAGTATATAAACAAATACCGTTTTTACACAATACAGTTTAGATAAGTTACAGTTGAGCCACGTTATGATGGTTCTTAAAGGTACGTGTTATTTGTGAAAATATTCCAGCTAGAAACTTGTAGTATGAGTTTTAAAGTTCCAAAATTATATTTAATTCACTCCCACCACTTATGAAAATGAAGCCTACTAACAGTAGGGCATAGGTTCTCAATACGAGTTTGATCGTGTCTTTTTCATCTGATTTACAAATTATCTCTTTTAGGCACATTAAGTATGTATGAAATATATTTAATACTGTGTTGTAATATTAAGATGGAAAATCAAGAGAGTTGGTTTAAAAAGCATATTAGAAAATCAAAAACAAAAAAGGTTTGAAAAAGAGTATGCGTAAGATGTTCAAACTAACGGTAAGAATTTTTTAAATATATTAATGGTAAGCATAATGTCAAAATGGGAGCAGGGTCTTTGAGGAAAGCTGAAGAAAGTTATTATCGAAGATTGTAGGATGGCTGAGTTGCTATTTTTTTCTTTTCTTTCAGTTTTCACTAAAGAAAATGTAAACAGTATCTCACATCCTGAAAAGTTACCAGTGAGAAACATAACAGATATAAATAAAATGAATATTAGCCATTATTAAAGAAAAATTGGGAAGTTCAGAAAATGATAAGGCTCTTGGGTCAGATAATATTTTTCAAAGGTATTAAAATACGTTAAAGACTGAATACGTAAACCCTTTACTAATTTTCTGTGAGTCTTTGAGTAATAGACAGGTACAAAAAGACTGGAAGCTGGCTAATGATATACCTATTTTTGAAAGAGGTGATAACCTTTATTCAGGTAATTTTAGTGGTAATAAAAGTTTGAGAAGTTTGAATTAATAATTATTTGAAAAGCCACCTATAAAAGTTTACAATTTTCTTCGATAGCCACCATGGTTGCACACCAGGAATATCTTGGCTCTTGAATATTTTGTTCTTCGCCAAAGACGTCACTGATTATATTGATAAAGGTAAAGGTGTGGATTTGGTGTATCTAGGTATTTGGAAGGCTTTTGTCAAAGTGTCACATAAAAGACTAGTAAGGTAAATTCTCTTTGTGGGTGTGGGAGATAAGTTAGCTCAATGGAGTAAGGACTGGTTAGAAGAGAGGAAATAAAGGATTATAATAAGTGGAGGTCAGTCAAATGCCATAATTTACTTGTGCCTGTGCTAAGTTCTTCAATCTGAGCTGATCGTATTTCATCTTGCTGCACAGAGGAAGCAATCACAGACCTCCAGTAGTGTTAATTATGGCACTCATCTAATAGTGGAATCTCCCACTGTATGGCTTGTCATCGCTATGGCAGAAATGGTCTCAACTCTTCTACACAGTGTCCAGGATCAGGGCAATCAATGAACAGACAGGATCTGCCTATTAGGAAAGACAATCCATCTGCATTATCATGCTACACACCAGGCGATAATGTATAATCAAATCATCCTACTGCAGTGCTATTATACAGTATGCTATAATCTCTTCAAGGTTTTAAAGTTAATTAATCACTTTAGTGATGCATGTTCCACTCGAACAAGGAACTTTCTATCATACAAGTATTGTTAAAAGTATTTTATGAAGACCACAACTGCAAACTACTCTCTTTTTGTTGTGCGCTATCTATGTTCAAAAGCAGTAAGGGTATAACTAGTGTATTATACGATTTACTCCATTCTGCAACTGAGATAACACTGCTTTGGTTTTCACTATCGTTGACGTTGGTGTCTAGCTGAAGCTTCTACTAAAGCACATTTCATGGACTGGAATGCTTACTTATATTTCTAGCTCCACATGAGGTACATTTTTCCTTTAAGAAGAGTTGATAATATTGGGGCAATCTTGTAGAAGTTGGCCTTAAGCTGTCAATACTACAAAGCAAGCTCAAGAAAACTGCAGAATTATCGTTTGATAATAGGTTGAATCCAATCTCGTACTGCTGCTATTTTAATAGAATCCATGATGATTCCTTCTTTACTGACAGTATGACCGAGAAATTTTACTTCTGTGTGTAGATTTTTCTGGTGTTAGTTTCAAACTTGCCATTTTTTATCCTCTGGAATAACGTTTTCAGATTATTAGCATCAGACGTGACATTTTGACTAAACACTAAGAACGTCATCAACATAGGTCAGGATCTTCTCTTATTGGCCTCTCGAAAGTTGAGGGTGCGTTACACAGGACAAATAGTATGACGCAAAGTTCCTACAAACTATCTCTCATGCTAAAAGCATTCGTAGATCCTAATCAGCTTGACTTGTAAGGTATAATGCATTGAACCAGTTGCCCTCTTCAAAAACATCTAGACATTCATATGTCAAATGGAAAGATATCAACAGTTACAGCATTCACCCATCTAAAACCAATGCAGAACCTGTGTGTACCTTCTTTTTCCTGACAATCACTACCAGCACTCTTTGAATGCTTTATGATCCATTTTTTTAAATCCCTGTGCTTCAGTGGTAACTACATCCCAAGTGATCCAGGGAAGTCTGTGCAACAATTTTCACTCAGATATGCCTTACCTGTATCTATGTGAAGTTGTGTGACTGTCTTGTTAATCATTCAACCATCTAGTCCCACAAATACATTGGCATATTTTGCCAGCACATCACTGAATTGGTACTATACATTGAGTTTAGATCGTCTGCATAATCCTCAATTATCAATCTCAAATGTGTTGTTAACCACGCATTCGCAGTCGGACATGGGGCTTTGGATACAATTTTATTGTTACTTCTTTTATTGGTTACTTCCATTTCAATCACCATGCCAATGATCATTTTAGCATGCAGCTGGATTGCCAATCGTCAATAAATGCACAACGATAGTGAGACTTCATTCCACCTTGGAGAGATAATTGGGTAAGCTAATGTTGTATTTTGAAAAGGAAACAGCTTATTTCATGTATGGACTTTATAACTATGTTACACAGCACTGGTGCACAAAACTTTGTCTATAGTAAACTATGGAACACCACTTGTGTACATGGGTGCACTGTGCCTTTCTCTTCCATACACACTCATGGAGTCCTCTATTCCTTGAATCGATCCAGCTAATATTGAATAACTATACCGTGGAACATCAGTTGATTAGTTGAATAGGTGAAACTGACTGATAAGATCTGAAGTATGCCCATCCTAAGGTTGGCGATGACAGAACCCAAGTTGGTATTGACTAACTTCATTTTGTAAATGGAACCTTTTAGACATAGTTGACTTCTCCTTATATGTATAGTTTATCTCCATTTGTCAGAAAAAGTTTGTGTTGAAAAGCCCAAGTAGTGGTTTTGCTCAGAGTGCCTGATATACCACGAGATCTACCAGTGTTTTAGCTGCTTTCGCATCACCCAGGAACTGTACATCTCGCCCTTGTACTCCAATAAGCACAAAGACCCTTCCAACCCTGAGGAAGCTGGTCTGAACACCACACTTTTAATGCAAGTTGTTTAGTACACATACACACACACACACATCCCAAATCAGTGGTCAGCTCCATTTCAAGGTCCACTAGCTTCTTAGAGCTGTAACAGCAGTATTCACTGCCTACTGTTGGCTCGCTTTTACCAACTGCACCGGTTGAAACTGATAGCCTTAGCTACCTTGGAGCTCAGCAAGGTATGGCCAGTTCACTCGAAAGTGGCCCAACATTCAACATGCAAAAAGCTGTTATACTCCTTCTTCCCAGAGAAACATTTTGGTGGAAGCATACGTTGTGATATATAAACCTTAGGAGAACCAAGATAGCACTGCTCATTCAATATGTATTAGTGTAGTTCCATCCAATGCTAGAATCTGTAGATGATTGGTTGACCCTTAACTGGCATCAAACCTGGTACTACATGGGTGCTTGGGTAGAACAATCTGATTGAGATGAGGTCACTTCAACTGCCACTACAGACATCTTCCTCTCTTGAGACTGGATCAGAGTTATAAGTTTGCACTGCATCATATCATCAACTACCTCATTAAAGGTGAGAAGATCTTTCTCACCCAGATGATACCACATCACGTCATTGAAGAACCCGTCCACAAACTTGTCAATGAGGATATCATCATAATCTGCTGAGGCCATCGTAAGGTATGCTCTACCATGCTAACAGTACAGATCATTTGCATAAGTAGCCCAATTTTCATGGCATCCCTCTTCCGAGCCTTGAACGCGGCTTGATGCATTGCTCTGTCTTCCACTAGGTAAATTCTCTGGCATAACTCAGTAATGACTGCCCAACAGTTGCTCCTCACTCAAGTGTTTAAATGAATCTAAGACTGAGCTTTCTAAACTCAGAACTAGTCCAGTCATTTCAAACAGCTACCTGTATGGGGATCTTCAGAAAATGTCTAAGTCCTGCTTTGCTGTATCCCTGAATGTTGGTGAAATGATCTCTTTTGCATCATTCACAGGAACTGTGATCGGGGCCAGAACCTCTCCTTCGCGACTTCCTGTTCATTACTTAGCTGAAATGTCATTTATATCATAAGAACAGCATCGTAAATACTCTCAGGGGCCTCAATACTCTGACGAGCTGTAGATCTTTGCTTCAAAATGG